TGGTGTACTTCGTTCAGTTACATGTTACTGAATCCATTTCAAATTGTGCTAAGTATAAAAATTTAAAAATAAATTAAATAATTACTTTTTATCTGCATTCGTATAAAACTATGTATTTATATTTTATATAGTACTTTTGTAATGGTCTAGAGAAAGTGAGGTAAATTTAGTTCCTCAAATGGAAAATTGTGGACTGTTCAAAGATATTTTAGGAGCTAGAAATATTGTCGCTCATCATGCTCAAAGCCTAATATACAACGTAAACAATAATGCAGTTGGAGGGCTTTAATAGTGTGGGTTGCCAAGTATGTAGGTGGAAAAGAGTCAATTTTCTTCTAAATTAAAAATAATAACAAATACTTATAAAACTAAAGATTATATTTTCATTAATATATGTTGACATATTATAACTGAGTACTTTATAGAACCATATAGTGCACGATTGTAATACAGCGGTAACGTCATTATAATTGTGGACCAAAAATATATTAATAAATTTACGCAAACAAATTACAGAATACTAGCCTGGATTGTTACAAAAGCAATACATAAAAGAGTAGAAAGATCAAAATTAAAATTAAAATGTGAACCGTTTAAATTTTGGTATTATATTAATTTAAATTTGATTATACTAAACAGATTAGAGCTATCTATATATAACTAAGATTCATATATAAAAACATATATAAGTACTCTAGATTTTTAAATTGTTATATTATTATTACATACCTAATAATATAATATAATAATTATTTTTAATTTTTATTTAATTATACGGTGATGAATAATATCGTGTTTTATTTAAAAACAAATATTATAACCATTATATTCAACTGTTTTATTTTATTTTTAAATTAAAATTATGAACCTTTCAAAACTGAACGAAAGTGATGACGGACCAGATGAAATTAATAGACTGTAAATGAATTAAGTATACAAATAACTGATATGCCACACATAACAAATATTTAAAGAGGAAAATATTTTTAAATAATTTTAAAGCTAACTATAAAGAAATAGAAGAAGTGGAAGAAGAACACAACAGGACAACAAAATAATAATGAATGGCAAAATTACCAAATCGTCTACGGCTTTAATTTGGCAAAGTGTGTAACAGAGCAAAAGCACTTCTCGGGCAAACACCGTCAAGAAACATACTTGCCAGTATTTTTCCGGAAACTCTGCCACTCGGTTTGTACTATAGAAATCAAAACGCCTGGCTTAATGCCTAAAATCTAAATGGTTAAATGTTATTTTATTCATACTATTTATAGGTATGGCATTGAAAATGAACCAATGTAGATTTTGAAAAATTTGATGTTAAAATTGAACCAGCAGGGATTATTTATACACAATAAAACTCAATTATTTAGCCATAGATCCCGATGGACTAATAAACTTAAAGAACACCAATAGTTGAGATTAAAGTGTCCTCAAGGTATAAGGATTGTACACGGAAGAAGCTGTAAATAACAAAAATTCAAAATATGCAAACATAAAATGATGAAAAATATGTAAAAATAATTGTTACTATTTCAGTACAAGGACAACAATATTACAAAGCAAAAATGGTGCTATTTTGTAGTGTGGACATGAGTAGCTTATGCAAAAACAATTTTGTTTCAAATTAACAATCTAATGTTTTATGATACTACACCATAAGTTTAATAGTTGATAAAATATTAAAGACGAAGAATTTTGGAAAATAATATTGAACACAATGTACAAATTTATATGGAATCTTTGGTCCAGAAATTATAGACTCAAGACATTTGATCGAGATTCCACCTATGAATCTGGTTTACCGGAATATAATATTTATATATTTTTAATAATAATATTATACTCTCTAAATTAATACATTCAACGTGTATTATTATTATAATATATAATCTTTATATTATACCTAAAATAGACCGAAAGTCTTGTTTTATAAATTGTTTAATAAAAATATTTTTAAGTATTAAAATTAGGTGGTAGTTTTGGTAAGTTAAAAGACGTGTAGAGATGGACGTTGAACAATAATAATGTAGAAGACACCGTATGCGGGTATTTACGTAATTAATATTACTGTGTATTACTATACAGCGTTGTTATAGTTATTTGTCAATTAGCAGATAAGATGTAGAGTGGGTAGTACCTGGTGAAGGGCAGAGACCCGTACACATACTAATAATCATTTACTACGCACACAGTCAAAATGACGCACGCACTTTAAATATTGCCTATACCTAACTCCTTAAATATACACCACCTCCGATCACCTTAACAGTGTGTGACGGTTCTAAAAGTGCGTTTAATGTTTATTAGTTGCAATAATTAATTATAAAATAATAAATAATAATATTTATTAACTATGGACTCTAAATGGACAGCAGAACGAGATGCCGAAGCTGTAAAAATTTTAACTGATGATGCTTCTGTAAATAAAGATAGGCGGTATTATCACGTCCGTGAGAAATTTGATTTGATCGAGGTAGCTGGCGTCCGACGAGTGCGACGGAAACGCGATCAACGTATTATGGCAGTAGTCGACAGTTTCCATAGTATTATCCGTGACATGCATGTGGCCAATGGACATAAAGGTGAGACAAAAACAAACAAAAAAATAATGGAGCATTACTCTAATATTACTATGGCTGATGTAAAAACTTATATCGCTAATTGTGAAAGGTGTGTGGAAAAATCAAAAAAAAAAAGTACGCGAGGCGTTGTTGTGCGGCCTATTTTAGCTTCTTCCTTAAATGAACGTGGGTAAGTGGACCTTGTCGACTTTCAAAGTTTATCTGACGGTGATTTTAAATTTATTCTTCATTACAAAGAACACTTGACAAAGTTTTCATTTTTCCGGCCTCTGAAATGCAAAAAAGCTTCGGAAGTGACGAAAGAACTGTTACACATATTTTTAACGTTTGGTGCACCTCACGTTCTACAGTCCGATAATGGTCGCGAATTCACTTCCGGTATTATAAAATAATTAGCGTTATTATGGCCAGATTTAATATTAGTAAATGGTCGGCCACGTTATCCACAAAGCCAAGGATCTGTAGAAAGAGGTAATTGTACACTGAAGGATTCACTGGTGGCGTGGATGCGAGACAACAAAACTGCCGCATGGAGTTACGGCCTCGCCTTTGTACAATGGGGCGTTAATACCACATACCACGAAGCTATAAAGATGACTCCATATGAATCAGTTTTTGGTCAAAAAGCACGAATGGGACTGGCAACAAAAGTACCTCGTGAATTGTTGGAAAATATAATGACAGGAACGCTAGAAGAAGATATGTTGGACATGCTTTTGGATCCATTGACTACATCTACTCCCACCACTCCGGAATATCGAAACGATGAGGACGTACAAGTACAAATACTCAATACTGAAGTGAGTAGAATTAATGGTGTATAATTTTGGAACGAGAAATTATAGTATAGATTGCTAGTTTAATTTCGTACGTTTACACCTTTATCCTTTTTTATAATTTATTGAACAACTAAAATTTGTGTTTATTATTGAATTATTATTTTTTATTAATTTAATTAACGATTTACGACATTACAAAAAAATTTTATAGATTTTCATACAATTAAATATTACTTATAATTATTAACACAACACAGTTTATTGAGAGTATAAATTAATACATCATCGTTGATGTCGATTGATCGTTAATCGTCGCGGTCTTCCGTATACTAAATTCCTTAATCGTACGTATCGACGGACGACCGCCGTATTGTATCATATTATTATCTTATCGGTGTTCCGTACAAATGGTATAAGGCAGAGGTTCCTAAACTTTTTATTGTACGACCCATTTTGAGATTTTTTTAAATTTGGTTACGATCGACAAAAAGTAGTAGCTGATAAAATAATAAAAAATATTTTTTTTATAGACAATAGATTTAGAGGGTACGCAGGATACAAATGAATTATTAGAAGAAAATACTGCGCAGAAACTTGAGAACTTAATAAAGGCCACACGAAACATTTTGGATATTGAAAGTGGCACCGACGAAGTAAGTCTATGGATATAATGTAATTAAAATTATTAGTTATTAACTATTATGATTAATTATTAACATTTTTATGAAGAATATTGAAGAGGTAGTTTCCGATCATCCTGCTGTAACACGACGCAAAATTGCTGTACAGAATTTAAAATGCCAAGCGGACAGGATGGTAACGAGAGGCAAAGGCATTCTCCCTCCCTTAAAAGTTGGCGACAATGTTCTGGTATCAATCCCGTCGGTAGATCGAGGGCGAGGAGATGCCGCCAACCTTCTTTCGGTTGTAATGGAAGAAAAAGATGGTAAATTTCGTATAGCAACCAAAGAAGGAACGCTAAACACATGGCTGGAGCGGAACAGTTTGGCTGCTACGAAGTACTGTTCCTTAACGACAACAGACGTTCAATCAAATGAATATTCGTTACGGGAACTTGTCCGATTAGGATCAGTTGGGACTGGACAAGGATATCGACGTTGTACCTGTCGTACGAATTGCACATCAAAAAAGTGCACATGTAGGAAAAATGACATGATGTGTAATTCGGCGTGCCACCCAGGCAGTAGTTGTCAAAATTTATAAATGTAAATATTTACTAACTCTACTAAAATATGTATAACCAACTCTCTTTTTTTTAATAATATGTAATCGGGTTATTTAATCCACTTAATTAAAATAAATAAAAAATAAGTAAGTATATTTTTATAACTTTAGTTTTTTATTATTACAATCAGATTTTATTTTATCTCCAGCATTATATGTAAGATCATGAGTACAACACAATTATTTATAATATTTTAAGAATGGGCCTGCGGATTTCACGTTTTCTGCAACAGCGATGCTGATTCCATGAAATCGGCAATTTTTCTGCCGATTTCATGAAATCAGCAATTTCACAAAATCGGCGTAACATATATATATATATATTTCTTAGCGCGGCGCGAACAATTTCTATTTCTGTTTTTGTTTTTTTTTTTTATTCGTTTGACTCTACAAATATTAATTAAATTTAAATATGTATTAACATTATTTATTATTTATTTGTTTTACAATTTCTTTTCTTAAATGTATTTAATGGTTACATAAAAATTTTGCTTGATTGTTAATATGTAATATTTAGTCATTATACATAATAATACAGACATAGGTACAAGAACATAAATAAAAATTAATAATAAAAAAAGAATAATTGTAATCTTGACTATTTTATTAATTAAAACATTTTCTTAATATCGAAAGTTTATATTTGCCTATAATTCACACACTTGTCGATAATTTGATGTAATCAAATTAGGGTGATGAAACGAATTACAGAAATCTTTCACCGGGTCTAGATCGTTCACTACTGCAACAGTAATAATTAGGATTAGATTCGTAATTGTTTACCATCCTATTATTTTTAAAACAAAAATTCTTAGACTTGGTTAATTTACAAATAATATAGAGGGCAAGTTTTTACAACAAACTCGGTTATATTTTATTTAATATTTCATTCAAGTAATGAAAAGTAGATCACTACTTTAATCTGAGGGCAATAATAAACAAAATTATTTGTATACAAGTAATTATTACATATTAATATAAACAAAAATCAATATTTAGTTATTATTTTACGATCAGTCGCATCATAATAATATATATAGGTGCTATTTTAGTATTTATAGTTGATATTGATATAATATAATACATACTATTAATTGAAGCTCTGTAGTTTGATGTTAAATCTGTAAAATATATTGTATTATGAAAGTTACCTATAATTCAATAATACGACTATTTTATAAGTATCTAGTTCAAGAATAAATAACCAAAAAATTCGAGTTAATCATAATAAGGTATTATATAGGTAAAATTAAAAGTAACATAAATGGAACTTATCCAGAAAAAGATAGCACAACATAATATTATGCATCTAATTAAAAAAAAATATAGATAACTACTATTTTTTGTACATTAAATTGCTTTTTTATTGTATAGATATATAACACCATAGCTTGAAAGCGTATTACTTACGACAACAATTTAAAACTAGATACTATCTAATGAGTGGTAACTGTATAACATGTATACTAATTAACAAATTTAAAGTATAGTTGTATTGTGTGACTAATGTCCTTTATCGAATATCTTAAAGTTTAAACCTAATAATATTTACAAATTTAATTTTGATCTATTTTTCATTTATACAGAAGTACACTTAACCTTAACATTTATATTACGGATTGTAATTTGTAGAGTACTAGTACACGACGACCATATGTTGTAAAATTATTGATGACAATAATTTATGGATTACGCGTGGATGAAGTTACAAATTTTTCAACGATGAATAACAATGTAAATTAATCTTTTGTAGTTTAAAAACATTCGTAGAAATTTTACACTTTTATGTATATCATTATTTTTACTAAATTCAACGAAGTTTTAGAAATATGTAGAGCTAAATTTAAGCTAAAACAAAATCTATATTTTGTAGGTACTATAAAACTATTTAAACAATTTTTTGATTATATAGTATTGACTAATAAGTTATTACAAACTACAATGATATATTTATTTATATGTAATAATGTAAAAGATTGATATTAAAATGTAATAGTACATAGAAATGGGTTCAAAAAAATTAAATCAATCATCTATAAGACTTCTACTAAAATAAATTATTTAATAATAATAAAAAATAAATATATTTAGTGATTCGTTGACAGATTATCTTCGTTCACGATTGTTTTTATAGTACAGTCGAGAAGTTATAACTCACACCTCGTTAATTTGAAAACTTGATTTTTTTTTCTCAGAAATTCTTATAACACTCAATGTATTAATATACTCTATGTATTAACTATTAAGTCTTATTAACTCGATTGTATAATTGTAATAAATAGCTTAATCGAAATAAATTATACCTGAATATTTTCGTAAACACATAATATTTTATTTATACGCAACTGTAAAATTACGATAATAAAGGACTAAATAGAAACTAATTATTAGCGCATGCACAATAACATTAAAATATTCATTGGTTAGTGGTTAGTATAATAGAATGTGCTATTGCCTACCCTAGTGTAATGTAATATGTTTAAAGTGCGTATTTTTGTGTGTTTAAAACATATCTCTAAATCGGCAATTTAATCATTGAACTATATTTGACAAAGCTTATGTGATACAGTTGGTGAAAAAGGTAACCAGAAAAATAAGACAACAATTTTTAAAAAGAAAGGTAGACATTAAAAAAAAAAAAAGGGAGAGTTTATTAAAAGTAACAATAAATGATCAAAATCAAACGAATATCCAATTGTAGAAGTATGTTTATTCAAATCCTTTACTTAATGTAGGAATAAAAATAAAACTACAAGTGGACCAATACTAAAAGAAAAAGAAGAATATTTCACTATTCAATTTGATTATTCTAACTTTAAAGCATGTCAAGGCTGGTTAGGATATTAGAAAAATTATCATAGCATTTTTCATAAAATATGGGAAAAAAGTGCTTCTGTAATGAAGGTTCTCTTTATGTCATAAATGGTTTGGAAAGTTATCAAATATCATAAAAAAATATTTTCCCGATAATTTATTTAATGTGGATATGACAGCATTGTTTTTTAAATGTCTATCAGATCGTTCTTATATTTTGAAATGGGAAAATAAATTAGGTGATAAACTAAGCAAGGACCGGATAACATACTATCAAATATCTCACGTTCCGAAAAAAATGTAACCATTTATAATCAGAAAATCAATTAAATTACGACGTCTTAAAAGAGTTACGAGTTTACCATTAGATTTTGATTCAAATAAAAGCTATGGATGACCCGAGACGCTATAATTCACACCTCATTAACTCGAAAAACTTGACAACTCGATTTTTATTTTCCTAGAAGAACATTAAATATTATTATGGTGAATCAAGAAATATTAACATTACAAACTGTTATGCAATATGTTGAATCTATTGAACGCGTGAATACTTCTATACTCGAAGCCATAGGCAAATTAGAAGATTTTTTCAATAAACAGCCGAAAAATAAAAAATAAATAACAAATTATTTTTCTACTGGTTATAATAAAATATAATACGTATGTACATGCTTATTATATTGTTGTGGGCTATGAATCTTGATTATATTATATGTTATGGTAACACACTGCAATAATGCATTGTGCGTGTGGGGTCGAGTGAAATGCATCAAATGCATCATTTATGTCATCCATTTGATATGAGAGATTGCACTTTCGTGTGTCAACCTTTAGGAATATTATGATGAAAGTGTAATATTGAGATAACCCTCAATCCTCATGCAACAAGAGATTACACTGGCATGTGTTGGCAATTATAAGTAAATTGCATCCTGGAGATTGTTCTTCACCAATATCAAATCAACTTTAAAGGTATCTACGAAATGCAGAGCTGTGGGCTACATTAACAAGGAACTCATCTTATTATATATAATTGAAAATTCAAACCTTTGACGCTAATGTTCTGCTCTTCAACTGAAGATTTTAATTTTTTTTTTTTTTTTTAATGGAAGATTATATTACGAAGAAGGATCTATCAAATAGCATTAGTCTAAATTAATAAACAATTGAGTTATCTATTAATTAAAACTAACGTATAAATTGTATACCTTTATGCGGGGCCGAGACCGTTTTCAACTAGAATCGTATTTCTTCCCTTTTCGGCCAAAACAATATTTTTATGTAATGTATGTAAAAAAAAAATAAATAATTGGTATATAATTTTTTTGTAAAATTAGGGCAATTGTAAAATTATATAATTTTGAAAATGATTAAAAGTAAAAAGTTGCGTAAAATGTTGTAAAATAAAATGTAGACAATAATTTAAAATATAAGAATATCTATATATTAAAATTATTTTTAAGTTAATATGTCACAAACCTACTTATATGGTTAAAAATTTTTTTTTATATAATATTACACATATTACATACTGTGACATATTAATATAAAAATAATGTTAATATATAAAGTTAATTAAGAATAGATACCTCTATTCTTATATTTTAAATAATTTTTTACATTTTATTTTACAACATTTTATGAATTTTATACTTTTAATCATTTCCAAAATTATATAATTATATAATTTTCCTATTTTTACAAAAATTATGTACCAATTGTTTTATTTTTTTACATACATTATACAAAATTTTGTTTTGATCGAAAAAGGAATCGGTATTTTTTTTTATTTGGTCGAAAATTGAATCGGCCTAAAAGGGAAGGGTACGTTCGCGGCTGTATTCGAATTGGTTACCATACCTGAAAATTTACGTCTGAATTAGTTCCCGACATTTCACGAAACACACATCCGAATTGGTTCCCGATATTTTAGGTAAGTGGAAAACATCCGAATTGGATGCTATATAGCTGCATGTAACACTGTACGGGTGTAATATGAATTTAAATACTATTATACGATAAGCGTACATATAGGCAGATAGTTAGATGGACAGCTATATAGACCAAAAAATAATTTAGATAAGAACTGTGTCGTGAACAAATCGTTGTTGTATTATATTGATATGGACGGATATCAAGTCCGATACCTACTCGTTAGTTATACTCGTCTGTTGTCAGTAGTGTACGTATAGTGATTAAATTTGCATTTTTGTTTCTGTTTAAGTATCAAATATGGAATAATAAAAAACTTATTGTATTAGAAGGTTATAAATTTGGATTCCAAAAAAAATTGGCAGATGACTTCGACTGTTGGACGTATATCAAAAGAAAATGTAAGTCGTATTTGAAAATAAATAATATAAATACAATCGTCGATAAAAATATAATACATAACCATCAAAAAGAAAACGATAAAACACTTAACAGTTCAAAACGAAGAGCTATGGAAGTATTGCATGAATGACTAGAAATAAAAATAATTCTCTGTGAGTTGTCTAAATGCGACATTGAAACCCTAGATGCTCAAGATTTATGTAGAATTAGAAAAAATATACATGCTAGTCGGTGTAGTACAGTACCAACCTTGCCTAAAACATTGTATGATACTCATAATGTATTAAAAAACTACAATTTAATGACTAATCGGGGAGAACATTTTTTATTTATAAATAGTGCAGAAACCGATTTTATTGGATTTTCATGTGATAGAAATTTGGAAGTATTACGTGAAATGAAAACTGTGTTTATTGACGGTACATTCAAAAGTTGTCCAAAGCTTTTTTACCAACATTTTACAGTTCACGGTGTAAAAAAAAACCACTATGTTCCTTAAGTTTTCTTTTTACTTCCAAATAAATTTAGTAACACACACATAAAAGCTTTCCGTTTAATTCAAAATTATTTAAACCCAGATAAAATATATGTGGACTTTGAAAGAGCCATTCATGTAGCGATCTCTGAAGTATGGCCTTGGGGCAAGCATGGTGAAGGAAGATACAACAATTAGGGCTTTCAAAAGAATTTAAAAATAACGATTCTGAAATGGGAGGTGTATTAAAATTGTTTTTTGGCTTATCCTTATTATCACCCCATGAAGTTAGCGATTGCTATACGAATGATTTGATGTCATTAAAACCTACCAATGAAAATCTGGAAGATTTTTTTGATTATTTACTAGATAATTATATTTAAAAAGATAGCTTATTTCCACCCACAATGTGGGCGGAATATACCAGTAGTACAACTAATTGCTGTGAATCATTTCATAGCAAGTTCAACAGTTGCTTCTATTCCGCAAATCCGAACATTTTTCAATTTATTGATGTGTTGAAAGAAGTTCAAATTGAAACATATGTTAAACTGCGAAGTACAAAAAAATTACAGAATTTGAATTCTAAAAAAAAGGAAACATTGATAAAAATAGAAATGGACAAATACAAAAGTAATGAAATTACTAAATTGGAATTTATAAAAAAAATTTGTTGCTAATTTTTACCTCAATAATACATTAATACATCATACTTAACTATTATACTTATAAAATAAGAAAAATTGACGAATTGAAAAAATGTATAATTATTATATTACTTATTATTATTTTTTATTTTTTTAAATGACATCCATGAAAAAAGCCACAATTTTTAACCATACCTGCAAAATATATAGACAGTCTTAAGTCTGCTTTTTCCCGGGACTTAATTTGGAACAATCCGGGAACCAATTCGGATACACCCTTTATAATAACCCGGGAACCAATTCGGATTCACCGATTTTTGCGGCCTAGGGGTTTCCAGTTACTTGAAATCTTACCTTTTTGTACGTTAAATTTGTGTTTGATATTTACGGCGCATACTATTTGCCTCCCAAAATATACGAATTGCCTCTCATCCTTATCGTAAATAAAAAGGTTAATTTACACTAGTTGCCTCCAATGACCAGGTAGTTCATAATTATATACGAGTTGCCTACCATATAGAATTAAGTAGTGGTTCATAAACTTTACTAAACAGTTCCACATAAATAGTTAATGTTTATTCATTATTAAAAATATCAGAGTTGGTTAACAACAATAATAATATAAAAATAATCAGTAAAAATAAAACATATAATACTACTTATTAAAAATATATAGTACAGTTAAAAACATCAGTCTTAGGTATAATAATATGTAGAATAATATTATAATAGTATTTTTAGACAAACATTTGCTGTCTGGGGTACGTCGGGAGGCAACTCGTATGTAGTCGGGAGGCAATTCGTATAAAAATTATTAACCTTTTGACTTCAGGAGGTAACTCAACTAGTGTGTCCCCGATATTTGCGTGTAGACTGTAGATATCTGAGGTATCAGTTGTTCCGAAAAATGTATCGATAAAAATAATCTCGAACATCGCGCGTAAACCAACAATATGTATACTATCGAATATTCCTATAATATCATTTGTCTGCTATATACCAGTGTTGACAAATGGCGATTCGGTGTTGGTGGCTACTATATTGGTTTTTAATATTTTAATTTTTAAAATATTAGTTATAATATTATAGTGTTGTTGTTTTTGACAATGAAAAGAAAATTTAATATAGGTCATTCAACATTTAAGACTAAACAGCGGCATCTTTCCAGGTTATTGAGCCCTAACGACCATAGCTAACAATTTTTATTAGACAACAATATTCATAATGTTCGGAATATTAATAGTAATGATATAATTCATAATGACGGCGGTGGTGTAATTGTTAATAATAGTTGTATGAGTTTGGCGATTGTGGTAGTTCTACTAATAATATTAATTGTGATAGCAATATTAACAGTCTTGATACCCCGAGTAACGCCGGGTAACATGACTATATTTATATTTAAAGGAGCCCAAAAAGCAGTAATGTGAGATGTACCATAACCGTTAAAACCTAAGCACCTTCAGTCACTTAGTCGCTATATAACGATTTTACATGTATTTTAGTTTATACAGAATATATACCATATTGTTGTTATTTTAAATTGTTACAATTATTCAGTCAAAACGACCTGAACTTGATTGCTGGAAGTGCGTACGCAAGAATACTATTTTTATTTATCGAACGTGTTTTAAAATTTATTTCATTGCATAACTCGAAATTTTGATTTAATTTTGATAAAGTTGAGTTAGGTATATTGAAGTAAATTTTTTATCCTCCTTCAGCTATGGTGAATCGACTGTACTTAGGTTTATTATTGAATTCAAATTTAACGAATTACTATGACCTAATCGTCATATACTCAGGAACAGTTTTAGGGGGATCGGTAGAGCCCGTCTCCAACCGTTTTAAAATGTGTTATTTAATTTGAAGTATATTAAATTGCAATAGTTTATGTTAATGTATTTTTAAATTATTATATTATTATTCAAAGACACAAATCTTTATATTTTAATTTAAATATATAAATTAATTAATTTTTGATGAAATGATAACAATTTAATTATTGTGACCGACTAAGAAACGACAACAATCGTCTACCTGCCGGCACGCGGTGGTTCATAAGGTTTTATCCTAAAAATAAAAATATTTTCCTTATTTGTCTAAAATATATCTAAACATATTGCTTATTAGTTTTGTACTAGCTGTATATTAGTAAAATTGTGGAATCGAATAAAGAACACACATAATGCTGTCGACATTTCTACACTCAACAATCGTCGATACATACGTATTATGTACACCCATTTAAAATTCGCACCACCTGTTAATGAAGGCTGAGTTCGCGCCTGCATAAGCTATGTAACGTAGTGATGAGTACTCAGTTTCTCACCTTTTATATGCATTAATTATATTATTAAATATTTAAAATGTAATCATCAGTACTTGTAAGATAATTATCAATACAAATAAAAATATTCCACTTATTTTTAGTTTTTATTTTATTTCATACTTAATATAAGTTTTTAATACATATATGAATATTATTCAACACATCTTTCTTAAAAAGATTTAAGCAGAAAATGCACCTCAATGGCTTAATAGATATAAATACATTTTACACGGAATCAAATTAAACGTATACGTACTAATCATCATTTCAACTAAAAAAAAAGTTAAAAAATAATTATTATTTTACTGTGATATAATATGTACATGATATTACTGCTTAGTCAATTATAGAATAAAAACAAATACAAACAAACAAATTTGATTTTAAAATTTTTAGTAATAAACCAATTTTAAATTAAAATAAATTATATAATATGATCGATAATGGTATACCATCAATAGATAGTGGACAATTGATAGTGTCATGAGGTTTTTTAATTCTGTTTTTCACAGATTTATCAATAATTAAATTAATAATAATAGGTTCTCACGAATAAACTATATCAATAATTATAATAATAATACTTTTTCAGAAATAAAGCTTAAAAAAGTTGTTAATAATAAAAATAATCTGTTGAAAGTTGAACATTTAGTTACAGGTATTCAAGCATCATCAAAAAAAAGTACAATGATCAAGCAAAAAAACTAAAAACTATGTGTAGTGATTTTAATAATAGAAGTAAGAACCTAACCTAACCGTTGTTAAAGGCATTGTTGCACCGTTTCTGGACTCGCGAGGAACCGGAAGTTCAGTCTATACCATTTACCGAACAAGAAATGTGTAAAGACATTTTTCAACGGTCTATTATTCGAGATAACACAAGTCGTTATACTGTTTTTCTGTTGTTTAAAATGGACTCATCAATACTTGGTGATTCCCGGGGTATGGCCTTATCACGTTTCTTCAATTTGGAATGCCTTCTATAATCCGAATCTGAATTATATGCTGAATACCGATTGTTCATGAATGAATATCAATCACTTGGATACATAAAGATTGCCACTATACCAGAGAAATACGCTATTCCCTATCAGGCTGTAATCGAGTATTCAAAGGACATAATTTAAACTGTGAGTAGTCTTCTACGCTTCAGCTCGCACTTCTTCAGGCGTCTTATTAAATGATACATTATTTGTCGGTCTAAAATTATAGAGTGACATCATGCATATTCTAATGTGTTGTCGCTTAAAGAAATACATGTTTACGGCGGATATATATAAGATGTACCGTAAATTAACATTCACCCTTCACACTGTATTTACCAGCACATATTATGGCGAGAAGATCCCTCAAAATCATTGGTGGATATGTCTAGACCACTGATATCTATTGAATCTCTTCGTCACCCTATCAAACTTTGCGTATACTGCAGCAATTAGAAAATTATGAAGAACACAAGTTTAAAGGAACTCTAAGTGTTCTTACTACAGAAACTTATGTCGATGACATCATAACAGGGGCAGAAACGATTCCTAACACGCTAACTTTTCAACGTCATATTACTAAATTACTAAGTGCAAGTGATCTAGAACTCAAGAAATGGGTGAACAATTGTCTAACCGTTTTGCAGGATATTCCTGTAAACAGCATTCCCCAACCTTTTTTTCGTTCCGTACTCTAAAGTTTAATATTTTGCTAGATTGTAGCCATCATTATAATTTTTAAGCTTTTTCAAATAAATACCTGTTTAGCCACGAGGTTCCTACAAATCTGTGGTCGGCCTCGCTGACTACACCACCGAAAGATGAATTTGGAATAAACGTGGAGAATTGCTTAAAGAGAGGTGACCATACAAAATATAAACATTCGAGTCGTATTTAAAGTATGGATTACACAAATATAATATTAAAATGTACAAATTAACGTATCATCAACGTCGAAGTGTTGACAGTTTATACAATGATTGATAATATACTAACAGTCAACAGATATCACAATCACTTTCGTCGTGGTGATAATAATAATAATAATAATAAGAATAATAAGAAATAATAATAATAATATTCGGCCAAATACGATCTAAACAATCGTGGGTGCTGGTTCGGTATGCGCTCTACAATCAAGTTTCTGGTTCGGTATGCGCTCTACAGGTCAATTTTAATTAGTTATTATTTTATTTTCATAATTTTCAAAAACGTCATAATAAAATTATTATAGAATATAAATATATAAAAATTAGTTAAATAATGACACTCGATCTCATTTGACACTACTGTAGTATAAAACTCACGGA